CGAAAGAGCCCGATGAGGGAGTACTCAGCACAATAGATAAAAACAGACTCACACTGAGACACCTTACTGTGAACTTTCAGAACACTGTGGATAAAGAAAGGATTATACAAGCTTTCAATGAGAAAGCTGTCTTCTGAAAAACAAAAACAAAAAAACCCAAAATTATTTAAAACTAGAAGAAAAATAATCTCTTAACCTAATATTTTATATACAAAACATAAACTAATATGTGAAGATAAAACTTTTTTTTTGGAAGATCAAACATTTTAAGACACGTGACGTTTCAGATAATTTATTCTGCCTAACTCCTCAATAAGCTACTGGCCGAAGCGCTTCATCAAAATGTGGGAATACATCAGGAAAAGCTACATCAAGTAGAGCCCACAAAGAGGAAAGATGAAGGAAACGAATTCCCAGGCTGATGACAGAGATGCAAGATGGAGCTATGTTCACAGTATTCTTTCTGGTCCGAGACCCCAGAAAGGACTGTAACATGGGCAGTTCAGAAAGAAAAAAAAATAGTCATACTAATGTAAACACTGAACACTGATTAAAGCAAATTCCAAAATAGCGACACTGAGAAAATTTAAGCACAGCGTGTGTGCATATGTTGCCCGTTAAAGAAGATGCGGAGGAAAGTCTGAACCTGAGAAATTCAGAACCAGGAATGCAAGCATCTGTTTTAGACAGAATAGTAAATACAAAAATAATCTATTTAAAGAGGTGAAGAGATGGCCTCTGTGGATGGAGAAATTGGGAGACATGTAGGAAAAGAGATGGCTTGAGGCTGGATTTTATTTAGCAAGTTGTAAAACTAATTGACTCTTTAAACTGTGCCTTCCTTGTGGTTAGCAACACAACTGGTGACCCCCTGGGTGCTTTCATAACTGACAAAAAATCAAAAACTCTAAGTTTAGAAGAGTTCCATCAATATTGTTGGGGGTTTAAAGCCCAGTAAAAGGGGGAACCAAAAAGCTTTATAGCAACTAGGCAAAGACCTTAAGCTTCACCCCAAGGATGAATATACTTATGTCATAATTACATTGTTTTTTTGCAGTACACTGACTTGAAGAAGTAATGACTTGCCAGGTGTCAAGTTTAGAGAAGTATATTGGGAAAACGTTTCTAAGCAACTGACAAGAGATGTATGAAAAACAAGCACCAGTCAAAGAAAATTCATTTAAGAGAAAACTCATTTAAACGTTTAAGGTTTTGTTTTATTTAAATAGAAGGAATACATTTTCTTCTTTAGAAATGTAATTAGGAAAAAAAGAAAAAGAAATATAATTAGATGATATAAATAAACTCCAGAGACAGTCCTAACCGGGGCATACTTAACATTACCTTGCGTAATGTTTGTAGAACAATTCTTTATTAAGTGCTTCAGTCCTGTCTCTGAGGCATAATCTATTTCAAAATTCAACCCTACACGGTTTCTAAGACTGTAAATCTTTACAGCTGTCCAAACAGTCTCATCTTTTCCCTCTCAGGGTAGCTTGGCCGGTGGATCTGAATCACTGACTCTGTACTTAGCAGCCCAATGCCTAGCGCGCAGTGCCACCAAGGCTCCGTAGCTGAACACATCACAATATAGTTTGATGGAAAGCTTTTGTGATAAGTGTTCCATTGTGGCTTAGCAGTTGGGTTTATTTATGCTATATCTTGATAGCAGACCAGCTAACACATGTTGTTGTTGTTACTTGCCATTCCAATTGATAGCGACCAAGGAAACACTGTCCGTCCTGCACCGTCCTCAAAGTCATTCACCTGCTGGAGCCTGTTGCTACACACAAGGTGTCCGTCCATCTTGTGGAGAGCCTTCCTTTTTGTTGCTGCCCCTCTACTTTCCCAAGGATGATGTCCTTCTCCAGGGACTGGTCTCTCCTGACAACATGTCCAAAGTACTTTGAGAGGAAGTCTTCCCATTCTTGGTTCTAAGGAGTTTTCTGGTTATACTTCTTCCAAAACAGATGTTTGTTTGTTTGTTTGTTTTGGCAGTCCATAGTAATACATTCAAAATTTTATTTAATTCCCAAACATCTTTCCTTTCCTGATTTTATTATGTGGAGACCAGAAAAGTACTGATTTTTCCGATGCATCAATACAGATATTCGATGGGCAAATAAAATGTTTCAATGCCAGATCAATCTTTACCTGGCTTTATCTGGACCTACCTGGTCTAAGATACTGCAGTCAAGTTTCCATTCCTATTATTAATACGCTGACAAGGACAGAATGGAAGTAACCCACTCACCCTGAAGTAGTCATTAGTTTCAACTTCCTTTACTAGGTATTAACCAAATACTCATAGAAAGAAAAAGGGTTCTCTTTTCAAGTTTTCTTATATTCTCTATTGGGAAATGATAACGAGAAAACCTGCCAATTAGGACCTTCTCTTTGAAAGAGGGTACATGAGGAAAAGTTGGGATATCAGTACTTAACCACAGACGTTTTTAAGGCTGTTTTTTAAAAAAACAGTAATATTGACGTTTGTAAAAACGAAAATTTGCTGGTCTTATTCATCAGATCAATTTTGAGGGGTGAGGACAGACTTCCCTTCGAAGGGCTGCTATTCTAGATTCTCAGGAGATTCCTGAAGGCTTAGGAGAAAGCAAACTGACATTTACGATAATTTCAAAAAGTTCTGGGGAAGATTCCCAATAGGTCTTAATTTCATTTTTTCATGAACTCTTTGAAGCCCATTCACAATTGTTTACTGCTTCTTTTCATTTTTTTAAATTTTTTTGCTTCTTTTCATTTTAAGGGAAAATCTGCCCTGATTTCTGTCACCCAAATTCCCTTTCCTATTTTGAAGTAGAGCATTCTTCCACACAGGCTGACTCACATGTTAGGCTTGGGGTTCTGTGTGTCAAGAGGAGGTCAGATTTCAATGAAAGGGAGCAGATGTATACTAGGTTTAGTTAGTTGTTGCAGGGTCCTGTGCTGGAAGAAAAGCCCCTTAAAATATACTCCCGTCCTAGTAACAGCCGATTCCCTCTGCGTGGTAACCCTTCTTTTCTTCTTCTATGTGAGCCAAGTTATATTGTGACTCACTCATCTTCACTCTAAATCTAGACTCTTTTTTACTGAAAAAGAGGCAGTCAAGTACTGTGGCAACAAGGTGCTTAGTGAACTGCCAAACAGTTCTGGTGTGCTGGCATTTTAACTACTGCAGAACATTTAGCTTTCACTCTGTTAGTGTCTCACTCTTAGTACCAATAGCTCACACTGCTATTTCCAGTAGAACGAGCAGAGATTCCACCTGTCTTGACTAGAAGGTTGAATTTTGCCTGAATCATTTAAGGCAGTTTCATTTGGACTGTTCTATTACCTCAAATTCTTTAAGAGGTGAGATATCAATCCTCTTCTGCTCTGTCTCTTCTGACTATCCTTCACAGTAGACCTTCTCTTCATTTATTTTTGTTGCTATTGTTAAATTTTAAGTTCACTTTCAGCAAAGATTTCTTATTGTTTGTAGTTCTGGAGGCCCTCAATTTTAGAAATTATTGTTAAAGGGCTGCTTTGCATTTGTTTCTGCCCGAGACCCTTAGTTTCACCAGTTCTAAATCAATTTTACATGAATGTATTGACTAGAGATTATTACAGCCACATAGCTAGCATGCTTCTGGACCATATATTTCGATTTCTCAACAGATCATTCAGAACCTGGCTGGAGGTCAGAGAGAAATTTCTTGTCACTTGCCCAGAGTGGTTGTAAAGTTTATCTGGTCCACTTTCATTTGGCGTGGGGTGGAGGTGGGGTGCCTTTCAAGGGTCTCAACTTTATACAAAAGTAAGCTCCTTATCGCAGATTATCCTAAAACCACCTCTTTTGTTGTAGGCGGCATTAAAATTCTAATCTCTGGGGCTTAGACTGTGGTTAGTTTTACAGCCTTACTAAGTAAACTACTGTGCCTTTAGGTCGCTTAACTCCAGACGGCTTTATCTTTCAAAGAGAAATTTAAGATCGTGTTTAACTATTTAAAAAATGCAATAACATTTCCAATATTAATAGATTTTTGTATGGTTCTTCTAAGATAATATCGGTCATACTGATCATATACACACAATAATGTAAATCCAGATAATCTATTTGTGATCACATGTTCAGGGAAAACAGTTATGAATCTGAACTGAAATCTATTTTGGAGAAAATAATTTGTATGGAAAATCTTAACAAAAAGAAGTTCTGTTTATTGAACAAAAGAATGAATAATTTTCTGTGTCATTCATGAATATTTGATTTTTTTCTTAAAAGCAAAACAAAACAAATCTCTACAAAGAGCTATTTTAATACCCATGCCATGACAAACTCTAGCACTAGGAAAGAGGACTTGTTTGGGGAGTGCGGCGTGGAGACCCAAAGCCCATTAGTAGGCCACTGGAGATCCCCTTGCAGAGGGGTCTCAGGGAGGAGATGAGCCAGTCAGGGGGCGACGTGACAACAATGAGAAATACAACTTTCCTCCAGTTCCTAAATGTTTCCTCCCCGCTCCCACTACCATGACTCGAATTCTACCTTGCAAGTCTGGCTAGACCAGAGGATGTACACTGGTACAGAGAGGAACTGGAAACACAGGGAATCCAGGGCGGATGCACCCTACAGCACCAGTGGTGTGAGTGGCGAAACAGGGAGGGTAGAGGGAGAGTGGGTTGGAAAGCGGGAACCGATTACAAAGAACTACATGTGACCTCCTCCCTGGGGGACGGGCAACAGAAAAGTGGGTAAAGGGAGATGTCGTACAGGGCAGGATATGACAAAATACCAATTTATAAATTATCAAGGGCTCATGAGGGAGAGGTGAGCGGGGAGGGAGGGGAAAAATGAGGACCTAATGCTGGGGGTTTAAGTGGAGAAGAAATATTTTGAGAATGATGAGGGCAATGAATGTACAAATGCGCTTTACACAATTGATGTGTGTATGGGTTGCGCTAAGAGTTGTATGAGCCCCTAATAAAACGATAAAATAAAAGAAAGAGGACTTGTTTGATCTAGTCACCTGCAGGTTATTCAGAGGTTCCATCTTCATGACTGGGCCTAAGGTGTTGAGGGGCAGGGAGACGTCAATGCTCTGGTTGGGCATCAGTGGTGTATGGATGGCCAGAGGGGTGCTGGGGATGACACCAAAGCTAAGAGAAAAAATAAACACACCACAGAAGTTAGTCAGGAGATAGGATTAAGTCATATCTTTGTGTTTCAATGGTTTTTAACACCACATGAAAGAGATATAGTTTTTAATAGAAGGAAATAAAATCAAAGCAACTTCAAAGTACGACATCACTGGTATATTTACACTTATTTCCATGGACTCAAGGAAAGAGAAAATACTAAACAAGTGAAACGGCTTTGTCAGTGCCATGATTCTGATTCTGCTACGCTTCTTACATACATTATGTCATTGTAGGAACATGTTTGAGGAGTTTCTTAATAAATTATCCTGAGATCATGCTTGGGAGAAAAGACTTTAGAATTCCCACCCTATAAAGGCATTCTGTAAAGAAATGTCACTAGATATTGCTTTTGTCTTGATAATCTGCCTTACTAGTCTAGAGGATGACTTACTGGTATTTCTTATGGTCTTTCTTTGTGTTCACTTACACAGGACATAATTAATCATTGGGAAAGAGTCAGCTTAAGTAAAGCAGAATTGACAGGCTTCACAAATAGGTTATGCTGCAGACCCATAGCCCCCCTTTGTGAGACTCAGGTTTAGTGTACCACGACCAGCTTAACTTCATAGAGAAATCTTAATAATAATACGAGAGGGAGATGAGAAATCTTACACCTTATAAATATATTTGGAGAACATGAAAATTTTAATACAACTTCAAAAGAGATGGAGTACAAAGGGAATATTGGATACAAATTTGACAGAAAATACTGAATAAAAAAAATAAGACACAAATTTATGCTGAATTTACATTTGTGTGTGTGAGGGGAAAGAAACAATATTTATAAAGTAATTTTTTATTATTATTTTTACTTATAATTTAAAAGTTTACGTAGATTTTCAGGAGTTATAGAACTTGTTTTTAAAAGATAAACTACAGGAATAATGAGGGCAACAAATGTATAGATGTGTTTTATACAATTGATCTTTGTATTGTGATGAATTGTATGAGCCCCAATAAATTGATTAAAAAAATAAAAATAAAACATAAACTACATCAAAATAGAATAATGAAATGATCATAAGAATTCATATCACTACCTTTGGCTAACTTTATAGGTTGAAAAACAAAAACCCTGATTTTGCTCTCTTGATTTTGTGCTCATGCTCAACAAACTCTATCAAACAAATGGGCCAGAGCCATGGCATTCGTTTGGTCCTAAACCTTCTGGTAACTTCTCTAAGAAACCATACGAAGGAACAAATGAAAGAAAAAAAATCCCAATAAGCACTGTCTTCTGTAAAAGTACATGCCAGAGAAAACTTGCAAATTCCAAGTTATGTGGAAGTGGCCCATAACCCACGAGATCGGCAAACAGGTAGGAGTCGCACGCTATGGCAGTCCTGCTGGGAGGCACAGGGAGTGCAGAGTAAAAGATGGTAAGTAATCGTCATACAAGAAGAGATTTTAGTTGCGTTTCACAGCAGGTCTCCAGAGGCTGGCCGTAAAGATCCACTCACACAAGAGCATCCAGATATGAGGACAAACTGGCGTGAGTAGGACCACTATCCAACAGGGTATCTGGGAGATGAAAGAAAAGGTGTAAAGTTCCTGGAGGTGAAAGGTCAAAAAGCACAATGATACACTATGACCAGGTAGGATTCACCTCAGGAATGCAAGGTTGGTTTAACATTTTAAGTCATTCAATTCATGAATGAGTAATATGCAGACTCATGTTCATCACCATTTTACTCACAATAGCAAAAAGATGGAAACAACACATATGCACGAATAGGTAAACAAACTGTGGTACTTACACACAAATGGATAAGTACACAACATTAAAGCATAACAATGAATCTGCAAAAGAAATACATCAAGAGTGAACCTGGAGGATGTTCTGCTAAAAGAACTTAAGTCAATCACGAAAAGGCAAATAGGGTATCAGATCGTTACTATAAAAAAATCCAGAGATTTTCACATGAAAAGAAGTATTTTTTGATGCTTACCAAGAGTAGAAGAAAAAGAAGATAGGATAAATTAATGGCTGAAGGGCAGGCACACATTAACTTGTACAAAGGAGAAGGCAATATACAATAAGTGAAAGGTCAGCAAAAATGGAGGCAGAGAAAAAAACTGAGTGAAGTAGAAGCGTTAAAGGCAACAGAAGTATATATATTGTTCTACACACAATCTGCAATAACAGTGATCTATGAATAGATGTATGAAGACACACAGGCTGAACAGGTGTGGGAGAAAGAGTGGGAATATACCCATGAACATATGTAGATTTAAAAGAGGATATGTGCAAATGTGTATTTCCCTTTACTGCAAATATATTCATGAATGTGGTGAAGCATGCAAGAGGGCAAAGTTATGAAAACTTCTGAAACACCTTGAAGTCATGAATCATTGGGCATGGGGCTCAGGGACATAGCCTCAGGGCACACAAGTCAATTGGCAAAATACAGTCCTTAAAGACAATGTTTCTTTTTTGTATTTTTAAGTTTTATAAGTCATTTTACTGGGGCTCTTACAACAATCCATACAATTGTATCAAGCATATTTGTACAGATATTGCCATGGTGTTCAAAACATTCTTTCTACTTAAGCCCTTGGTATCTGCTCCTCTTTTCTCCTTTCCTCCATCAACCTCCCACTCTTGTGACCCCTTGATAAATGACAATTATTTTCATATCTTACACCGTCCGCTGTCTCCCTTCACCCACATTTCTGCTGTTCATGCCCCTTGGGGGCTGTTATATGTCAATCATTGCGATCAGTTCCCTCTTTATTCCCTTTCTGCCCCCATCATGGTTTTGCTACTCCCATTATTGTCCATGAAGGGTTTATCTGACCTGGATTCTGTGTGTCAAGAGTTCTTATCTGTACCAGTGTGCATGCTCCGGTGTAGCCGGAACTGTAAGGTAGAACTGGGGTCATGATAGTGGCAGGGAGTAGGGGAAACTTTAAAGAACTAGAGGAATGTTGTATGTCGGTGCTATATTGCACCCTGCTGGCTCGTCCTGTCCCTTCCTTGGGACTCTTCTGTGACGGGATGTCCACTTGTCTACAGATGGGTTTGGGGTCTCCACTTCAACCCCTCTTACTCCCATCAATATGATTGTTTGTTTTGGGTCTTCTGATGCCGGATACCTGATCCCATTGACACCTCATGATCACACAAGCTAGTGTGCTTCTTCCATGTGGACTTTGTTGCTTCCCTGCTAGATGGCTGCTTGTTTAACTTCAAGCCTTTAAGACCACAGACACTATGTCTTCTAATAGTCAGGCACCATCAGCTTTCTTCACCACATTTGCTTATGTACCCATTTTGACTTTAGTGACCGTGTCAGGAAGGTGAGCATCACAGAATTCCAGGTTATTAGAACAATGTGTTCTTGCACTGAGGGCGGACTTCAGTAGAGGCCCAATGTCCTTCTGCTACCTTGATACTTAACATATAAACATATGTACATAGGCCCATATCCCTATTGTTATATATTAATATATTCACATATATACATGCCTATATGTATACCTCTATAAATGTCTTTTGCCTCTTAGTTATTTCCTTTTACTTTTCTCTTGTCCTTCTATCATGTTCGACCTTTATTTGGCTTTCATTAATTCCTCTTGGCTACACTGCACTTGATCAAATCCCACCAGGGGTTCTACCTCCTCCTCCTCGCCATCAATTTTAGATATCTTGTTGTTCCCTTTTGTCTCTGGGTTTATTGGCTCCCCTGCCCCACCCCCCCATCCCCA